GCCGAGCCAGTAGCAGGTTGCTCAAAGGCATTTTGTTTCGTGGAGCCTCGATCTTTGTTGTTGTATGAGATCCAGAGCCAAAAAAGTTTCGAAAGTTCTCTCAAAAGTTGTGTTTGCAAACCATTTTTTTCTTTCCATGATGGGCCGAGGGGTCTTTGATCTGTGTGGGAACGTGAAAATGACCGTAAGCATTTCCGAAAGGTACAAAATTTTAACGTAAATCTTTTATTTCCAACTCATGTTCCAGGTTCGTGCCGAAGTCCGTAATAAGTTGTTACCTCTTTCGTTCCATCCCGATCAAGGTAGACCTCAAATGGAGCTTAAATGAAAACTACATATTTCACGAATAATTGAATTTTAATCCTTTAAAGTGACAGAATCAGCTCTGGCGGAGTAATGAAACATCCAACTCTCAAAATCGCAGTCTCCTATGGGCGGAAAATGACAACGGACCTTGCTGACTTCAAGTGAGGCTGTGCAACAGTTCGGCTATTGAACTGGTAAGTTTTGTGTGGAGCATAATATGTTCTTAGGGTATTGTTCATGGGAAGATTTTGTCTTGAAATTCATCAACTTTCAGTAATCTGGTATTACCGACAAGTCTGCATAATGACCATTTCTTTGGAAAACCATAGGAGTAAAGCTATCAATTGATTTCCATTGAAAATTGGGCAAAGAAGAGAAAAACAAGAGGGATTGTATATCACAACTGTGATGAATTCCGAAGATGTCGTGAACAAAACGTTTTACCACGAAATGCAACTAAGAGATTTTCTTCAATTAGCGTCACTAAAAACATCTTAGTTTATGTAGCATGTTCTCCTCGGCCTTTCAAAGAGCGGAGGAAGGTCGCAAACATGTACCTTTTTAAACATTTGCGAAGCTTTTCGAGACTCTACAACGAAAAGGATCGAAGCCACGTGAAACGGAAGGTGTAACATCTTATTAAGGACTTCTGTGCGAACCGATGAATTGGAAACGAAAGATTTTTTTTTTAACCTTTCGTTATTGACCACCTCGATCCTTCATGGTAAGAAAAAAAGGCTTGCAAAAGACAAATTTCTAGGAATTTTCTTGGCGTTTTTGATTCTGCATCTCATACAAAATCAACAAAGATCGAGGCCGCGAAAAACAACATGCCCCTTGAGCGACCTAGTACTGGGCAGGCCAATCCCACCTTTAGCAAATTTGCGGTTTAGAAGCTACATGTAATCAGACTTGTAAATCAGACAAGTAAAAAGTCAGTGAGAACGAAGATATAAATACTAATGGCAGCCGATCAATTTAAAAAAAAGGGAAAATTTAAGGTAATCTGCTTTCCCGCTCTGAGCACAAAGATAAAGTTAAAGGCGACGAAAAACAATGGCCTTGCTCTTATAAGCAGCCCATAAAACACTACTGGGATATAAAGCAAGTTAACACAACAATTACGTGAGTTTCCAGTTCAACTAATCGAACTTTAAAGGAACAGATATGAGTTTTGAACTCCTTTTTGTCAATTTGTATCCCTCGCCAACCTACTCTCTGCATTATTCTCCAGTTTTTGTGCCATTACAATTACCTCACATCGATTCTTTACAATTTGGCTTGTACAAGGAAGTATTCCATTTATAGGCTATTTCTTAATTGGAGTATTTATGCGTACCTTGATGAAGTAAAAACAAATTGAAGTAAGCTTCTTTATACTCATGTTCATCAATACACACTGTCACTTTAATGTCTTCTCCATTCGCAAGCTGCTTAATTTCATCAGTGACCAGGAATTCTTGGAGACGACTCTGCAATGTTCCATCTTTGTAGATGTCCCATAATTCCTTCAAGGCAGCCAATTTCTCAGCTTCTACCACGAAGCGTATAGAACCATTACTAATCTCAATCAGCTTGTTGGATGAAGGTAAAACAACTCTTTCGAAGGTCTCCTGGTAGTCTTGCCGACTGGAGCACTTTTGCAGAGCCATGCCACTGTTTACCGTTAGAAAACCACCAGCAACGGTACGAAAATTACACACCAAAGTGATAGCTGTTGGAACAATACACTTAACTGGATTAATCTTAGGAAAGGTTAGCTTGGGACAAGTTTCATCTAAAACTTAATGAAGGCGCAATGCAATTTGATTTCCA